AGGCTGCCTAATCCACAGACAATTAACCCAAATTGCACTGCTCAAGTCAGTTTGGCACGTGGGCAACTCTCGCGTGTTCTTGCGAAAATTGCAGCAGCCGGGGACAGCGATCACACTGAGAGAAAAACACTCAGAACGTTAAATAAGTCAAAGAACTGAAAAAAAAATAATTTCATTATGTTTTATTAAGGTCTATATAAAAATCATTGCTAAGATATTTAAATTCAATTTTTTAAAGCGGATCTCAATTGAACCTCAAGTATCCACTGGAAAAAGCCAAAATGTACATTTTTTGGCTAATGAGCCAGGTTGGTAAAAGAAAGTCATAAACATTAAAATACTTTCCAGTGCAGCGGGGATAATTGCACAAGACGACGTCGTCATTGGCGGCAGCTGGCAACAGACATCGGTCGACTGGCATTTGAAAGTCTTTGAGTTGCTGCAGTTAGCTCACATAAAAATTGCCTCGGCCCAAGGTAATGGGCAATTAGCTGCAGCAACCTTCTGGGCCAACATGGGCTAGTCAAACAAATGAGGCAAGCGGAAAACAAACTCCGGAGTGCGCCTGTCATGGATACTGCAATTTGCTGCCCAGTCACAGATACTCGCCGATACAGATACAGATACAGATAGCCTTTAATTGGGTTTAACTGGCTGTCAATGGCGGTAGCCAGCTGGCGGGGGGTGCTCACTGCCCGGGGGTGCACTTTGGCATTATGGCAGCCAGGGGTGCATGATCATCGGGGCAATGAGTGATCAAAGTTATGGGCTGGAGTCGGCTTTGCAGCAGGGGTGCTTCTATTGGAAGCCATAAATTTATCGGGGGTCACAGTCGTCGTTTCAGATATTGTCTTTCTATATAATTGTCCTTGCTTTGAATGGGTTTAGAAATTCATATGGACATTTTGTCCAAAAGGCCAAAAAAACCAAAATGTAGACCAGTTTTCTGTTTTTATTTGAATACTTATATGTTATCGAATCTCTTTTTTCGCATTTTATGTATAGAAATGTCCCAAGCGACCAACTTATTCTTATGTTTAAATGGTTTAACATTTTCTGCTTGTATTGTGTTAAATATAAAATAAGAATATCAGATTCACAAAGTGTAGATTTATGATCAATTGCACTTTTTGCCGCAGGTCCCTCGAAATAAAAAGTATTTGCTTATCCAATCGGTATACCTATATTAGCTCAGTTTTCGTACATTGATTCAGTTTTTTTTTAAATATAAGTAAGTTAACTAATTCTTTTTTTGCAAACATTTGAACTCCTCCGCAATGCAAATATTTGCCAACCCCGCAATCGATACCCCATAATTAGCCCCACTTCCGACACATTTTTGACTACCAGACGAGAGACCCCAATTCGAATTCCAAATCACGGTTCGATCGGATTGCCAAAACTTGAGCTCATTTCGACTCATTTCGCCACCGAAGGCAAACGGAGAATATTTACGACTATCTGTGAAATTCGCATGCGTCTCAGGTTTCCGGCACGCGTTCACGCATTTCAAAGTGATCAAAAATAAAGGCGGGGATCGCAGGGGAAGTTGGACACGTTTTCCTGATAAACATAATGAGGCTGGACGGAAGGGGAGTGACAAATTTCGGCGCATGCGCGCAGGCGGATACAAGTCGTATCTTACAGATACTGTATCTCTCAATTTTTGTTTACTCAGTGTAATTTGTTATCCACCCTTTTGTGTCCCGCCCCTGCGGTCTGGTCATCCTTATCTGGACACCTTATCAGTGCACCACATATGACTCTGTCTGCGGTGGAATGGCAAGCGTAATCGTTGAACTCCGAGCGGTATTCCCAGGCTGAAACTTGCCCATATTTGTTGTTATTTTTGCTGTTTTTTTTTTTTTGGGGGGTTTTTGCGGCGAGGTAGCAAGGCCAGAGGGTGTCCCAGATAACTGGCTATCACCAATCGGCGCTATCAGCGCTGCTGGTCAGCATAATCAAGAACTCTTTGGCTTTGGCTATCCAGAACCGCATTTCACTCTCTAAACAAATATTTCGGTTTCGCTTAAAGTTAAAATTGGGGTCCCGCTTGGTTTTAATCTTCGTCTTGAAGCGAATGACAAACAAGTTCCCACTTTCACTTGAGCATGGCATGGCAGAAGACCCGATAACCCAGAACTGGTTGTGGGAACGACTTATTGCTGTTGTTGTTGCTGTTGCTGTTGTTGTTGCTAGGGCTCCGACCGCCAGACCGATGAGCAAACAGATTGTTCCGTGGAATTTTTGCAGCAGCTTTTCTCTGATAGGAAAATACCTTACTCAATACGGGGAATCGGGGTCAACCCACAGGAAAAACTATTCTTTAGAAACAGCAAATCTTTTCTAATGCCAAGCTGAGTTTCACAGTGAAATTCTCCCTCCTTCAAATTATATGTTTGAAACAGAGGGTGACTTAAAAAGTATAGAACTTCTTAATTCCCAAAAAATTTGTATCGTCATTGTACACTCTGTTCAAAGGAATTAGCATAGTGTATAAGAGGAATTTATGTAATGGAGATAATTATTTAGCAAGCAAAAGGTTCACTTCAAGATATACAATAAAAAAAACCCTTAACAAATGTATTAACATGCGATTAACGAGTATATTTATTTTGAAGTTATTCATGCTTTTCTGATCAACTGAAAACGATTGAACGATAAGTTATTGAATAATTAATAACTAAACCCTCAATTACAAAAGGCGGTCGTTAATTGAAAAATGATTGACAAATAATTCTATTTGAACCAACTACCAGATAAATGTTTGCAATGTATCTAAACATATAATAGTAAGTACAATAGTTATAACTCAAAAAGTACAATCGGAAAAAAAAGATATATGCTGGATAGTATTTTGAGTTAGACGAGTTCGACGTTTTTCTAGCCGCGGGAAGAGGTGTAATGAGCTAAATGTGCAAGTGCTTCATCAAGTTTTAGTATGTCTGCCATAAACACGGCATAAAGATGATGGCATTAGGTCCTAAACCCAGAGAAAATCCCCGACGAAGTGTAAAAATCCCAGCGGGAGCTGAGCTCAAAAAGCGCAAGCCAACAAACAGAAAGCCGTAAACAGTAAACATTGAAAAACACGGGTGAAATAGAGGGGAAAACTAAGCGTTTTCGTCATAGCGGACGGCGTCATAAACCAGTAGATATTTCTCTTAAGTCAAAGTTAATGGCTCTTAAATCAAAGTGAGATCGGAAAGACTTCTTTATACAAAGCCAGTTTTTGCGATACCTGCGGAAAAGCTCAAAGATACTGGCGATATCACTTGTATCTTTGAGTTACGTAAATCCGCTCTTTTTTGCGGGGGAGCAGAGCAGTGCGGAAAGAGTGAGCGGGCGAGTGCTTTTCCCCCGATTCGAGTGAAAGAGAGCGCGGCGGCGCAGTGCGGAAGAGATTAAGATACATAAACAAAACGGCAAAGCATGCGAAAAGGCAGCACAAAGCAGAGAAACAAAAACAAACGTCGGTGAGAAACCGGAAAATTGCCAATGCCAAATGGCCGCGAAAGAGAGCGCAGTCGCGCTTGAGAGAGAGTGAAAGAGCGAGCCGAGTGCAAGAGCCGAGGAGACACGAGCCGAGGCGAATGGCCACGAACAGACACGAAGCCCGGCGGCCGCGGCGATTTCAGCGCACAGAATCATTCTCGAAATCGCGCGCGAACCTTTCGCACCAGCAGACCGCAGATACAAAGATACAAAACCACAAGAAATTCGCAAGACCGAAAATCGCAAAAAATAGCAAGCCGAGAGTTTCCCCCGTTCACAAGAATAAAAGCGCCCAGGCAGCCACCGAAAAGTGCAAGTGAAGTGAGGGAGTGAAGTTACTGCCGAGTATAAAAGCGTATAAAAACAAATTAGGAACGAGGCCTAGTGGCCCAAATTCAGAAAGCAAGGCAAGAAAGCAAAGAAGATCAAGCGAAAATTTGAATAATTAAAAATAAACACGCGCCGTGTGAGAGAGTGTGAGTGTGCGTGCGGCGTATCCGTCAGATACGCGCCCGCTGACGTATTTTCCCCCGAATACCGTTATAGCCGCCAACGCTGCCGGCCGGCTTTTTGTGCCCAATTAACGCACATTCAACAAATTGCCAGGCGCGAAACAAAAAAAAACAAAAAACAAACTGTTACAGCGAAATCGGAATATCGAGTTAAGCCCAGTTTATCGGCCGTAATAAATCGCAAAAGAAAATTAAAACATTTACCTTTCGTCTCATTCAATTTCGCTGCGGTTCGTTGTGTTGCAGTGCAATAGAGGAAATAAAGAGAAAAGTTTAAAAATAAATATACAATATACAAATAACTGAATGCAGATGTTTGGCATAATACAAAACTATGAATTGCTGAGCGGCGAGATCTTGAAAATACGCGAAAAGGTGATTGCATAAGGATATATCTACAGCGCAACTGTTACCAAGTGACCTCATTCAAGGTTGCCCCAGCGGCATCAAAACAATATCCTATAGATATTGCAGTTTACTTGATTTCCCAATTAGCGCCCACGCGCGTCGAAAGTTTTTTATTTTTTTTGCATTTTTACATGGTTAATGTGGATATATAAGGAGGGCTTTACGGTGGTCTGTAATTAACCTTGAATCACTCATTTTAATTCCACTTTGTTTTTTGCCCCTGTGAACTTTAATTTAATTGGATTTCACTTCTCGGAAATTTTTACAACACTATTTTGCCTTTATCAAATCAAATTTCCAGGGAACCTGCCGCGGAATAGATACTGTTATTTAGAAGCATTCGACTTGCGTGACGGATGCAACAAAGTTAGATGCAGATACACCCAGGAAAATGTGTTCCATGTCGCCATTTGCTCAATTAGGAATCGCTTTAAAGTGCCCACACTGGGTCATTAATTTTTAATGGGATGCTCAATAAAGTTGTACACTTTAATTGTTTTTTTTTTTTGCGAGTGACTCACGACTTGCAGCGCCGATAAGCAGGCTGTCTGACTAACCCAAGTCTTGTTTTTTTTTCGCCCGCAGGAACCAACTGAGCTGAAGAAGCGCCTGGAGGAAGTGCGTCTGCTCGAATCGCGACGCTCCGCCCGCCTGGCAGATCAGGATCGCGACACAGACTTTGCCAGACTCGCCGACATGAGTGGCGAACGCCGCAGAACCACCACACACAGTATTGAGGTGCCATCGCAGCTCACGGCGCAGCACAAGTGAGTACTATATAATAGATGCACAAAGAATAAGCATTTTGGACTTTTTTAGACCCATACCTTCTTGATTATAACATAGTTTAAGCTTTAAAGTAATCTTTATAATAGTAATTTACCTTTTAAAATAAACAACAATATTTTAAAAGTGCTTAATTATGTCAATAAAAACTTCAATTCTAAAAAAAAATATCAATTGAACTTAAGTTCTTCTCTTTTACAAAGAAAAGATATTAAGTCTAGCAAATTGTACTCAAATGAATCGACTAGTCAGAACTTTGGGTATCTATATGTAAGATTACGTGTTTTGGCTTATACGTAGGTAACAAACCATTATATTCCCCACTACTTTTGCCGGTCGTACCCGGTTTTTATATTCGCATTTTATTCGTTCGTTTTGTGTTTTCGACTTTGACTGGCTTTTGCATAAATATGCAACGATTGGCGTCTGTGGAGACTGGGCCATATCAATAATTTATAAGTGGCGACAAATTAGCGGAACCGGCCACCAAGTCACGGACATCGTCCAATCCATGTATAATATCTATAATAAAATGGTGTCTCCGTCTTGTCGTTCGGTTGCGCCCTCCTCGGGCCACGCCCAACTGTTTAGCATAGACGCCGCTTTAACTGCACTTACATAAAGAGTTCTCACCACTACCGCCACCGCCACCGCCGCCCTCGACCTCGCCCCTTCCGTTTGGCCTCCACAGCGCTCCCTTCGGAGGGACGACAGCTGATTGCAAAATAATTCAAATTTTCAATTACCACCCGCTCAGACGTCGCGACGACTACGCCGAACTTAAGACGGCGGCGACGACAAAAAATACAAAATACGAAATACTAACATTTGATTACGAAGGCAAACAGTCGCGCCGGGTGTCATTGTCTAAGTAAATGCCCTAATAAGATGGGGGCTTTTTATTTAGAGCACCAAATAATACGATAGTTCATGTTATTTCCCAGAGTTTCAGTTGTCGATTTGTTACCATGAGAATATGATTATATATAATGGAAATGGGAAATAATGACGAATTTGAAATTTATCAAATTGGTTGCCAAATCAGTTTTGTTAAAAACTTGAGTATCTAATAGGGAACTTGGCATGTCAACGTATCACTTAGCCCCATTAATATCTCCACAAGTGCAGAGCATTAAATTTCCGACTTGCAATTGGAGCGATTGTCACTCGCCGCTGATGGTTGCGTATTCCATTTCAATTTCAATTGATAAGCCTCGCGCGCCGCAGTCGAAACTATTAGTCAAGTGTGCAAAAAGCAGCAACATCAGCGGCAGCGCCGAATGCCGGCCACGTTCTCAATTGATAATAAAAATAATAACAATAATAATCAAAATAAAGAAAGCAAAAAAGAGGAAAAGAGGGAACTGAAAACTGAAAACAAAAAGCCCAGGCAGGCGGTAAAATATGGCGCGTCATGTCCAGCCAAGGATGGAGAGGGGGGGTGTTAGCGGGGTAAAAGGCAGAAAAGTGGGGGTTGGGCGGCAGCGGGGCACTTCAATTGCGTCGCAAATGCCAGCTACCATCCCAAGTCGAAACTAAAAACAGCTGGAAAAACTTGAACTAAAGCTAGGCGGCAATGTTGCTGCTGTTGCTGTTGCTCCTGCAATGGTTGCTGCTAGTGTGGCAATTGTTGCAGTCCATGTTGCCGTTGTTGTTGCTGCTCTGAATGTTGCTCTGTTGCAATTGTAGCTGTTGTGCTGTTGTACTTCAAGCTGCTGCTATTGCTGCTCTAGCCGGCAAAAGAGGAGCAAAGTCAACAACGCTCCATTCTGTTTCTGTTTCATTGTGTCCGATGGTTGTAATAAAATTCAAATAAAATTCAATTGAGTTCAGCGCGAGTCGCTGGGCCAGTTTAATTTAATTAATTACAGTGAAAAGAGAGCGCGAGATGTGGCATGTGGCACATTAGGGGGGTCACCCTGTAGCTGTGTGAAACAGAAACCGAAACCGACACTGAATATTGCCGGCTTTGCCGGGTTTTGCCGCAATTTCAGTTAGTTTATCATTGCTCGGTGGCCCTCTGGTTTCATTTTTGTTATTGTTTCGAAACTCGCCCGCGAATGCGGAAGTATTTTTTCCCCCCACACTCACAGATACGCAAATAAGCTGTAAGCACAAAGCTCTCGTCGATTCGGTTGTGTGTGTGTGTGTGTGTGAGTGTCTATCGTCGCCATATTCTTTATGTTTTGATATGCCATCTGGAGAGCGAGAGGGAGACGGCACTAGGGGGAGGGGCACTCACACACACGTGTAATGATAACAACTCGCTCACCTTGCGCGGAGCGCCTCCCCAGCCACTCCCCTTCCTCCGCCGCCCACCGAGTGACACGCGCTTCTCGCGTAATGCGACGTAATATCAACCGGGCAACCCCCTTCCCCTTATAAAAACCCCCCGAGCGCCACCCACCTCCTCACCCCGCTAATCTGAAATGTGCTTTTCTCGCTTACGTGTGCGAGCGCTTCTTTCCAAACGGAATTTGGTTTTTAATTCGTTTATTTTTATTATTATTAATTTACATAGTTTAGCAACCGATCTGATAGTTTGAGTAAACAAAACTTTATTTTTCTCAGCTTTTTTCATATTCGTTTATTACCCGGGTAAACAAGTCATTGGTTAAATAATATTTACTTCTTGCCGGTTGTTAATCACAGAAAGATACAATTTGTTTGATGTAATTCGCTTTTATACCTTTCAAACTCATCAGCAGACATGAAAAGGTTGTTAACTAGAGTTTTTTATTCACACAGCTTGGCAACCAATTGTTTAAGCAAAAGGAATTTTAATTGTCTGAACATTTCCCTTTTTAATAATTGTTGTTAATTTGTTTGCCAGTCCAGTAATCTTGGAAAACTTCAGCTAACAAGGAAAACCCAACTGCAAATCAACTTTGATTCTCAAGTAGCCCATCCACAACCTTTCATTACCAGCCATTTTATGGCAGTGCAATTGCAGTTGACAGACAAAGAACGCATAATGATACAGCACAAAAAAAGAAGAAATAATCATAAAAAAGAATCAGAGAAAAAATGGAAGCGAATTAAATGCGGAAAAAAAGTGGTAATAAATATAATAAGCGCGTAATTATCGCGTAAATGTCAATTTACGCGGCGAATGCGTTGCGTCAGTGCTAATTTTTAACGCTCGACTGGCCGGCAGACCCCATCTATATGGAAACCCCCCGCCCCCCACTGTTCCCCCACTCATTTGTAGGGTCGTTCGTCTAATGAAAGCGTGTAAGCGTCAATTGGCCAGGTTACTCAGTTATAGTTAAGTTTTGTTGTTGTTGTTGCTGCTGCTGATGCTGCTGCTGTTGTAATTGCAATGATTAACAACAGCAACCGACGCCGGGGGAGCAAAGTTCCCCCTTTCCACAATAACCCCTTCTACTGCAGTTGCATTCGCCGCTGTTGTTTATTGCAAAAACAAACAATATGGGAAACTGGCAGTGAGCAAAGAAAAGCAAAAGAACAGCACAAAAACACACAGCACCCAAGAACAACAACGACAACAATAATAATAAAAATAATTTACAAACAAGTTTACCGTTGCAAAACAAAAAAAAAATGAAGAAAAATAAGAATGAAATCAACAAAAAATAAGACAACAAAAATTCAGAACAACCATAACAAGTTGTAAATAATTATTCAACAAGTTCCACATAGATAGGGGAAAACTCTGAACGCCACAAAAACAAAAACATATGTCTTTAAGTCAATTAACCAAATTGACTTGGGCCTTAACTAATGTATTAGTCATGGCATCGATTTGATAGTGATTTCCAATGCAAATTGACTAAGAAGCATTTAAGCTACCCTTTGGAAGAAAAGTCCAGTGACGAAGGCTGCATAAACAGCGTTTGAGGTGACGTCAAGAAATTAGCAATAAAAACGGGGAAAGCGCACGACAAAAATGACAAAAGCAACAACAAAACAGGCTAGAGAGCGGGATGGTCGGAAAATGGGGTGGTGGAAGAAGAAAAAGAATTCAAATCCAAGTTGGCTGGCAGCGGCAATTAGCCGAGACTTGAAAAATATTTGCCAGTTGTTTTTTTTATTTTTATTTTTTGTGCTCAGCTTTGTTTTCCACTGCTGCTGCCGCTGGCAAGACTATGTACAAATATTATTATGAGCGACTGTTTGTCTTGCCCTCAAAAATACGCCGAGAGCCGAGCAGAACAGCTCGCAAAAAGAAGAAAAACGAAAAAAAAAAAAATAATACTTAATTTCAGTACAATAAAAAGTCAAGTCGAGCGCAAAAGTGGGTCAAAATTATTATTGAAGCAGAACAAAAACAAAGCCAGCAGCAAGGCAACGATAATGGCAATGCAGAAACAACCACAACAACAACAAAAGGGGTGGTGAAGGGGGGTGATGATTGGGGGAGAGAGCTAAAATTTATAATAATTTTCTAAGCGACGGCCCCTCTACGGCAAATTATTGAAATGCATTCGCATTTCGCATTCACCCGGCCAGGAGAGACACTCCAATAGCAGGGACCATCATATAACCTATATATACCCCTCGAATGCACCCCCTCTTTCCCAGAATTTCCCCCTCCCACATTGGGGTATCCATTGCCCAGGCAGCGTTCCAATGAACGTAAACACAATTTCCCAATGTTCTGCACGAATAGTTTGTTTGATCGTAAAATTTTATTTCTGCATTCAAATCGCAGCGCTAAACAAAATGCAAAAAAGAGCGAAGAACGCGAAAAAAGACCTAAATGCCATTGCAGTTGTGTGCTTCTACACAGGCAGAAAAATGTATATTGTATTGTTCTTAAAAATTTGATTACCTAAGGTATTATATTTTTAAACTGCATTGTTGTTCATGTACAACTATTAAAGTTGCCTTCAAAAATGTTTTTAAATAACTTTTGGTTCACAATGCAACAGTAATATGTGCAATATGGTCATCAAATTTTAAATATCTAGTTTCTTCTTTTTTCGTGCTCTTTGTATACCTTTTGCATTCTGCTTAT